GAGTCATTCCTGGGAAACTTGTCTTAGCTGAGGAATGACCACAGGGCCTGATTCCCCAGACAAACTCTTGTTACTGACCCCTGCTACAAACCATGTTTGATCAGGTGAGATATGTTCTCCTCCTTCAGCACTCAGGGCTGACTACAAAATGCACGGCAGTTTCCTTCTGATCCTGAGGGTCAGACCCCTCTGTGGCAAGTGTGCTCTTGTTGCTTTAAAATATTAACAGAAATGTATGGATAGGATCCTGCCCTGTTTGCTCGCGGGCACCAAAGGATGTAAAAGCATGTAAAATATAATTTCTGACCTAAAGAGCTTCTAGCTGAGAAAGCATGGCAGCCATACGAACAATTCCTAAATAAGAAGTAACAGCATCGTGGTAATATGCCAGACCAGAGTACGTCTGATACATCGGAGAAATGCATAGCTGGGGAAGAATACACAGCAAATACTTGTGTAGTAGAGAGAGCAGAAGAGCACAGCCTGGTCATTTACATCGTCCTTGCTTATTAGATAACAACTTGAGACCATTATTTAACCTATATGTTCAACTCACTTTACAGTAAGAACCTTTTTAAAAAAATAAATACAATTGTAGCAGCCAGTTCTATGTAATAAAAATATTTCTTCTGCTGGCCAAAAGCCCATAATAACACTCCTTTTGCTGATGGAGATCCAAGACTCCTTTTGAAGGAAAAAAAAAAAAACCCCAGTATGAGAAAGACATTCACAAATCCCTGTCCATTTGGCAGTAAATCTACTTAACAAAAAGGCTATCCTTTCAGCAGAGTATTGACATAAAGTACAGGTTTGCGTATCTGTACAACATTAGCCAGTTCTTAATAAAATCTGACTCTTTAAATGTTGCACTGATTTTACTTGGACTTTTATGCATATTATAATGAAGGCTCTGATCATTGCTGGTTCATAAAGCTTATTCCGCATTGATCAGCCCTGGGTAGAGGAGTGGCTCGTCCAGGACCACACACCTGCCATACTAACGAAGGAAACAGGAGACAGTGTACGTGTCCTGCCTTTTTTTTTTTCCCCCATATTAGCTTAGATTAGTTGTGCTTAGATAGAAGAGAACAATCACACTCCCATTGTCCAAAGTCTGCTTTTCACTTGTTTGGACAGGGTTTTCATAATTGTATTAGAATACGGGAATGCCTTAAGTAAAGTTTGGGAAATTTGCAATATACGAAGGGAAAATAGTTATAACTCTACTCCGTGTCTCTAGGACGGTATGCTTGTGTGAGAGAGAGCCAGATTCTCCACATTTACATAAATACTTTCTAGCCTTGGGAGACTCATATGTAAATGTTTGGGTTAAGACGCCCTCCTGCCAGGCTTCAAATTAGGTGAGACTAGTAAAGTAAATAAAAGGTAATGGATTGTGTCCATATATGACTTCATTCCATCTTCTCAGTGACTTTATCAGTACCTAGTAGGGGGCAAGGCTCAGCAGTAATCATGTGTCCTGTGCGCCTGCAGGTAGCAGCTAACTTTGTTTCCTAAGGTGTTTGAGGTGCACCAGACCAAAACTCTTTTCTTTTGCCATTCAGTGCAGTCTTTCTCAAATGATTCATGTTTACTCTCAGTCAGTTCATGCTGTTAATTATATCCAACCTTGTTTTTTTTTTTTGAGTTTTATTTATTTAATTGAAAGGTAGAGTGACACAGTGAGATGGAAAGATGAATAGAAGGAGAAAGAGAGCGCTTTCATCCGCTGGTCTACTTCCCCCAAAAGGGCTGCACTAGCCAAAGCTTGGCCAGGTCAAAGACAACAGTCAGGATGCCACCAGGGTCTACCACACGGGTGACAGCAGCTCAAGTGCTGGAGCCATAATCTGCTGCCTTCCCAGAAACCTCATCAGGAAACTGGAGCAAAGAGCTGGACCAGGGTGTGAGACGCCAGCATCACAAGAAGCTGTGCCACAGCCTTCACTTCACACCCAAACGTCTTAAACAAGCTCACCCACAGGTAGATGTTCTCCAGGACTTGCGGGGTATACAGCTGATCAGGTCTCTCGGGTAACCTGAACAATATTTGCTTTTCCTACACTAAATTTCTCTTAACTTCCCCTCCAAGAACCTGGATTCAAATACGTGGGCTAGATGACTTGGATACTGGAGAAAAGGATGAGTCTAACAGTATTAACAAATCTAATTTGTGCCCTATTTCTTCCAAAACAATTTTCTACTTCTAAAACTGCTGCCAGTTGGTAGACTTCTAGAATCTGTTACCCAGGAAAACTACGATTCAGGAAGTACATTTACAGCACATTCTTTATTAGACTACCATTAGACCAGAGAAATGACTTGTTTGAGTCATTTCCTATCACCTGGCTGCCCCCTGCTGCATCACATAGGGAGTGCACCCTGCATTACGGGCCTTCTCCATTTGTTTCTTTTCTCATGCACCCATCTCCTTGCCATGCTGTCTAGTGATGTGATTAGACACAAAATCTTAACTCTGACCAAGTGTTCCCTCCATGGATCTTACTTTGCTAAACAGATCAAATTTCTTGAGCAGGTGTTTGGTGGACAAGCTAGAGTAGCTGAGAAAATCGGGCCAAGCGAGACTCTTAAAAATGGAGAAACACAGCCTGCCTGCCAGAGAACTCAACACACCTGGCCTGTGCTTGGTCGTGTGAACTGCCTCAAGGTCACCTTGGCAGTTCTAGAAGTTTAAGTCACGTGCTATAACCTGGAGGAACAGTCATGTTCGGACACACCCTGGACCAAAGGAATACACGCACTGTGCTTTGAGGGAGATAACTTTGGGGAATTTCTTTAACCTCATCGGTCTTTTGTCAGATCATCTTTTGAGTGAACTTACTTTTTAATGATCTAACGCACACAATATTTTTTGAAATATGGTAATAAACCTTTATCTGTCACTACTGCTGAAGTTTAAGAACTGTGGAAAGGTAGTCTGTCCTCCAATACTTTGTTCTCAAAACTTCTGAAACAATCACAGAATTGCAAGTCTTACAGGAAGTCGGCCTGAGGTTCTTTCAAAATTATCCTGGATGAGTTTCAACTTTGTTGAACCCTGTCTTTTCTATCTACAAAGTATTAACGCAACTATTTCATAAGGCTACTCAGTGAGTCACTAGCACCACATACTCCTGGCACATGGTCGATCCACAGGAATTGTTCCTCCTCCTTCTTCTCTCCCTCTTTTTGTTTAAAAAGGTGAACGCGCCTTTGACACCAGATGCTAATGCACAAGTAGAGGATGTACTGCAATGCCCTGGTGAGGAATCGACCTGGACTGTTTCTTGCCATACATAGAGGCAAGGGTGGGAGGAGGGGGTAGAGGTGTTTGTCAAAGACCTCAATATGGAGAAGTATAGCTGCTAGGAACTGCAAGCAGTGCCTGTCCCAAACCATGTGCACTTTATTGTGAGAATGAAAGAGATTTTTTTTCCTCCCTTATTGAACACCGGAGTTGTAGCTTGGACCAGGGAAGCAGATACAAGACAAGAAAGGTATCTATTGCAGAAAGGGTCATATTGTGGTAATGAGGTCTTTTTTTTCTTCTTCCTCCTAACACATTCTAAATAGCACACAAATTGCTTAGATTCAAAATACTTTAAACAATACATTCTCAGTCTTGCTGTGTGAACCAACAGTCAAAAGGAATGTTGTCAACTCAGTGTGTCAGCAAAAGCTGCCTCTACCTGCATAGATGTATATGAATGCATATGCACACGGTTTATGGGTAAAACACAGATATTTTATGTTTCTACATGTGGTTCTGTTTTGGAAATGTCACTGAAAATTGAGTGAGTTCTTGTTAGGCAATTTGTAAGTTTCGAGGGAGAGAAACAAGCAGAACTGAAGGACAATCACAATTTGATTGTAAGAAATAATTGGCTCTAGGTCTCCTCTCCCACCTATACCCTAGATCTGTCAGCAAGCTGATTATGAACTGGATGCAAACCAGAGGGAACCACATACAAGCATGCATTTCATTAAATTTCCATGACCTTTTCAAATCTTCTTAGGTATTGTTTTGGCATCTCCTAAGAAGGAGTTTGACTCTGAATCAGCTCTCCAGGGAGGACATAGAGGATAGCTTAGAAATTACCTTGTGCAACCCATCTGTTTTATAAACAGGGAAGCTAAGCTTCAGAGAGACCACTTGGCTAGAGAGCCCTCCTTCATTGCTGCCTCTCTTTCCTAATGTCTTTATGGTGTTGGCTGTTCAAAAGCACAAGCCTTGACCTGCTGCTGTTAGCCAGTTGTCAGTGCTACACAGTGCGCTCCATGCAGGATACCCTTTAGAGAATTTCTGATACTCCACAGAAATTAGGATTATTATGAACAGAGAGGAGGACAATACAGAATGGGATTTTCCTTTATAGCTCATTTATCTAATCACTGTGATGCAAAATCTCAGGTAGGTAGCATAAGCTTTGTTAGACATGAAGTGGACCCATCTGAGACTTAGAAATGAAATCCTTAAGAGAAAAAAAAAATCAGATTCTCACAGTACAACTCATGCAAGCTTACCAAACATGTAACAATCATTTTTTGAGCACCTTCTATATTTCCAGAATGGTTTAGAGTCATAAGTCTCACCACAGAATGAAACAGTAGTTTTTGTTTTCAAGCCTGTGTCTTAACGTATACTTGTGATACAAGAATGAGCTGTTGCTTTCCAACACCAAATTATTCTTAGAATACACTCTGGTGAAAGTGGTGGATCATGTTTTTTCTTTGTTTGTTTTATTTTTTTAATTGTTTTCCTTAAAGTAAAAACTCTAGTTTCTCAAAAAAACTGGGGTTTTTTTTTGGATCAAGTTGCTTGAAATTTGGCACAATACTGCCGCCTTGAGGTTCTCTCCATTAGAGGCGCTCACCCTGTGTGGAGAGTGACGTTGTATGGGAGGATTGCATAGGGTTGTATAGGATTCTCGGTGATACCCTTTGACACCAGATGGCTGGGTCAAGAACACTCAGTCTCTTCCCTTCTGATTGTGTGGCAGAACGATTGGAAAGGCTCCATCGCTTTCGTGGTTGGGAACCAGACCGAGGATGAGCTTCTCATCCAAGCCCTCACGCTCGCTGTGCAGGCCCCTCAACGCAAACTTTTCAGCATCGTATTGTGGCAAGATATCCTCCAGCAGGTACCTGTCCTTCCCAACCCAAACCCCCTGTTTCACTTAAATTTTGTTGACTCAAAATAGCAGGATACAATAATAAACTACGTAAAACTCTCTCACTCTCAAGGTGTTTTTATATCTCACTCTCAAGGTGTTCTAAAGAAATACGTAGCTAGATTGAGTTGGAAATTTTTAACCTGCAAGAATTAATCTGTGTTCATCAGCATTTCCCACTAACCATTCGTTCATATGACAAAAAAAAAAAAATTCCGGGGCCATAACCAGACACCACCGTATTGAATGTTAACTCCTCACAGTGTTAAAACACCAGTAAGATTGAATAGCCATAAAGGACGATTACACTATGTAAGGTCCCAGGGAGGCCCGTGACTAACTGGAAAATGAAATCTATACAGCATCATGGCTGTCAGGAGTCAGAGAGGAACAGTAACATAGCAAAGATCTGTCAGCTAGAACATCCCCCACACAAGTGACGAAGCTCACCGAGGTGAGTATACGTGTGTCACCTAACTGATGAGCGCATCTTTATTGTTAACTTTTCCTAACCCCTAGGTATTCGAAAGTTCCAAATATCTGAGTATTCTTTGGGTAAGCCTTCCTTCTTCATTAAGTTTGATTTTCCTTACAGATCAACGAAGTGTATACACTTGTCGGAAATGCTCCATCTAAAAAGGGGAAAAGACCTACAGGCGGTAGCGCTCCTTTATTCTACGAGGTTGGTGGACATGTTTATCCATGAGAATTTTGTTATTTTGAGAAAACAATAATTGAGGTAACAATATGATTGGCATTTTTAAATTGAATCCTTTCCTATCGCTTATCGGAATATCTTTTCCTAAGACCTATCTCTTTTCTTCTATTGGTTTTATTTATTTTTTTATTTTTTAAAATTATTTTTATGATGCAATTTTATAGACATGGGGATTCCCCCCACACTTTTCCTTCCTCCCTCCCCATGTGTCTCCAACTGCATTGTTTCTCCGCATAATATTACGATAGTGTAGGCCTTCAACAACCATCACAAGTCCAACATTCTGCTATTCAAATGCCTCATGGCTTTCTCGGTATAGGTAATGTTAGAAAATCTAGTATAATGTTGCCAAGATATATCTGTTTCATTGAGAGGCCACTTTTTATTCTAGAGAGATGTACTGTATCTTCACTTTCTGGTATACTAGTCTCTATTATACAGGTCATCTATGAGAATATATGTGTATATATGTTTACTTATATATCTGTTTTTTGTATTTTGCATGAAGGTTTTCTTATCAGAGAGAACATATACAATATTTGTCATTTGGGGATTGGCTTATTTTACTGAGTATAAATGTCTACAGTTGAGACCTTTTTTTTTTTCCCAAATGGTACAATTCCATTCTTTTTAATGGCTGAGTAGTATTCCATGGAGTAGATGTATCTCAGTTTCTTTATCCATCCCTATTCTGACAGGCGACTGGGCTGTTTCCATGTCTTTCCTATTGTGGATTGTGCTGCTATGAATATAGTGTTGCAGGTCATTTTCCCATATGCATATTTCACTTCCTCTGGATATATTCTCAGGAGTGGGATAGCTGGGTCATATGGCAGATTGCAGTTGTCTTAACAGTCTCCACTTCCCCAGTGTCTGTACTAGCCTATACTCCCACCAACAGTGGAGTAGGACACCTTTTTCAAGAATTTTATCCTTTGGCAATAAAATTCTCTTACACTGTTTATTCACTACATCTAGTTGAAAAATCTAAATCGCAAAAATGTGTCACAGTTTTCCATAGTAATTATTGTGTAATTGTATTCAATGGAGTCATATTGTTAGCATATTGCAAATGTTAGTTTCATCAAAGAAACTATGTAAAAATGATCGAGAAAGTGTTTGTCCTGGGAGGCAGAGGCACAGCTGGAATGATTTTCATCAGTTTGTAAACACTGTGCACATTTTACATGCACTTTAATCAAGGTGAAGCACAGTGCTACCCATCAGACTGGTGTTCCTTTCCATTTGTAGCACCTACTGAACGCCAAGATCCGTCCTGGCTCACTCGGGCTGGTTGTGCAAAAGACTTGGGACTTGTGCTCAGTGTGAGGCAACACTGTCTTGTTACTAGCTAACAGATAGCTCACAAGACACTATACAAACCCATTAGGAGACTGTTGTGAGGTACTGTTTTATGTTTTTTTCAACTGAAAATTTATAAAGATGTTTGGATGTCTCTGTGTAAGGCTTGTTTGTGCTTTGTTCTTGTGATGGCCAACAAAGTTGCTATGTTTCTTGGGCTATGGGTGACCCCATAGAACCCATAATGGATACTATCTGAACAACTTACACTGCATTTTATAGCATTAGCTCTTATTCTACTGCTGTCGCTACCACAGCAAGCTTATGTCTTGCTGTTGGAGTCAGATAACCTACTTTGTATGTTTTGTTATGATGTTACACATGTGTGTGCTCCAGGTGATAACTGGTTTTAAAACATTGGAATCTTTCTTCAGAAGTGGCCTCAGAAATCCATGTCCGATTCTCAGGCCTGGGACCAATTAACCCCCCTCCCTAAAAGATTCTTTCTTCTTCAAAGATGCTCAGTAAAAATCAGAGATGATAACAGGCAAGTTTTGACATCCAATCTGGACAGGCATTTTGACTTGGATGTGGGATAGCACAATGCTACAGATTGAGAGTTAGTCAGAAAGTCATTCCTCTCCAATATGTGCTGTGCCTCTTGGTTGCATATTCTTCACTCGGGGGAGGTCCATTTCACATCTGGCTCTACCACATTCTCCCAGTGAAGCATTTGAGCAATAAGCCTCCCACACCCGCTCACAAACCCTTTTCTGAACGGTTCCAGAAGAAAGGGCAGGCAGGGCGTGGCTTCACAGAGATTGCACCTTGGGTGCACCAGGCATTCATTAACGTCAATCACTGTAGCAAAAAAAATGATAAAGAACATAAAACAATTCAAGCTCCTGGTCAGCATCAACCAAGGACAGACTACACATCTGGAGAAGAGTGCTACAATTTGGACCCTGTCTCCCCATGCTTAAGGCCTCTTCAGGAACTCTGAACCTGATATCCCATTCCAAGAGAATGGAAAACTCACTGATAATGCCTGTGGAGCACTGATATAGGTGGGAGGGTAACCATGGGAACAGCTCAGAAGCCAGAACTCTTTGGGAGCTCTGGATTTTGAGGCATGTGGACAGCCTGCTCATGAGTCCATTTCTGTTTAAACTCTTGCATAGTCCATGCTAACTAGGATAGCTTTCCAAAAGTAAACTCCAGGAGCCTACTTGGGAAGCTTTGCATTTTCTTTGTCAAAGGAAAATCTACAATGGGGGAGAAAGGATAATTTAACAGAATTCTACATGTTACATGGGAAATTAATATAGTCCTGTTTCACTTTAGCCTTGTTGGAGAGAGAGAACTCAAGCTATCATGTGGACCCTGTGATTAAATGTGTATATTTACTTCTATTTGTAGGATACTGTCGTTGGACTTACATCAGAGCCTAGCTGTTCTTACTCTAAACACAATTCTAAGCAATTGTGCTTTCTGGCTCCCTAGCCTATGACTGATTAGAAGCAGCAAATTAAAGTGAGAATTCATCAGAGCTTGTCCATGAGTAATAAAATAGTGTCAGAACCACATTACATATTCCTAATGACGACTTGAAATGTCTGGGCTAGCAAAGGCCACATTCCTTAGCGATTTGCTCAAGGTTTCGTTTGGATGGCTTGGTGTTGTGTACACACAGCCTCATTCTGAAATTGTGTAATTTCCCCCTGAAACCTTAGAATCTCATCTAGCCATAGTATTGTATATATGAGAGCATCTTTACTTATAAAGCATAGTTCTTTGAAACCCTGGTTAGACTTGTGCTGTTATGATGCCACAGAGACAAAGCTGTGGTTTATTTGTTCATTTGCCTTCTTCTACCATGTTTTGCTATAGCAGGAACTTCTCAAAGGACTCATGTAGGAATGGGAAGAAAATATTTTATTTCTGTGTATTCCCAGGAATGTTAGCTTGTACTTCTTAAAGATTTATTTTACTTCTTTGAAATCAGACTTACAGGAAAGACAGAGAAGAAGAAATCTGCCATGGGTTCATGCCCCCAGAGACCACAACAGTTGGGGCTGGACCACACGTAAGCCAGGAGCCTGGAATTCCATCCAGGTGGATGGCAGGGACCCAAGTACTTGGGACAATTTTCTCGTGCTTTTCCAGGTGCATTAGGATTGAGATGGATTGGAAGTGAGCACCCAGGACTCAAACTGGCACTCACATGGGATGCTGGCATTGTAGGTGGTGGTTTAACCCACTACAAGACAATACCAATTACAGCTGCTACTCAATTATTAATAACAATAAGAGTGATCCTGTGCCCTGACATGAAAATGCTGATTCTAACATTTAATCCTGTTTGAGGATGTAGTCACATTAGAAAATGGATACACTGATATTGCTTGCGTTAGTAGCCACTGGCCAGTTTTACAAAATATCAGCAGATACATTCCTGTTCAAACACAACTATCAGGCACTGTCACAGCAATGGAGAGGGAAGGGAAAGATGAATATTATAAGGACTCTTAAGTTCAATGAACTTAAGTACCAGTTAGGAACAACTGAAAACTATACTATATGTATGTAAGCTTGGTACATACATGGTAAATATTCAATGGCTATTTGTTGAATAAGTGAATAATACAATACAGAAAATCATGAAGTCCTTGAGAGATGAGTGGGGTGGTAAGGGAATGCAAAGGAAAATGAGATTACCTTAGCTGCAGCGGGAAAGGAGGAATGAGATGCAGGAAAGGCTTTGTGGAGGAGGTTTTTGAGGAGGTGGCATTTGGAGGGACAGAGAAGGGACCTGACAGTTGTATTGCTTTAAATATATTATCCCAACTAACTCACATCATGGTTCCAAAAGGAAATTTGAATAGCCCCCATTTTATACACAGGAAAATGGAGATACAGAGAAGGTAGGAAATAAAAAGAGCTTGAATTGATTTGAAGCCAAAAAACTTGAATGTAGCCATAATTAATTACATAGTCACGAGTTTTTCCACTTCACTACAGACCTGTTGCTTCCACTGATTTCAGACATGAGTGGGTCTGCTTTTTTGTTTTGTTTTGTTTCTCATATACTTTTGAAACTCTTTGGTTTTTTTAGAGGCAAAGCAACAGAGAGAGAAAGAGAGAGAGAGAGAGAGAGTGAGAGAGAGACTGAACAGAATTGAGTTCTTCCACCCATTGGTTCATGACAGCCAGAACAGAGCAAGCTGAAATCAAGAGTCAGGACACCAGTCTGAGTCCCTCACATGGTACCAGAGACAGCAGGACATGGGACACCGCCTGCACATGATGCCAGAGAGAGATGCCAGGTGGGACACCACCTGCTGCCAGAGCAAATACGGCAGGAAGCTCAAATAGGGAATAAATCCAGGACTGACAGCCAGAGGCACTCCGGTAGAGGCTACAGGTGTCCTAACCTCAACATCAAACAGTAACCCCAAGCGACAGGTCTGAACATTCACGCGTGGGAGAATGCATTCCTAGACAAGGGGACAACTCAAATAAAGCATGTGAGGAGCTTGATTGAACCTGCTCCTCATTTGAACTTACATGCTATCATTGTCACTGGGTAGGCGAGATCCAGCCTGTCCATCAGTTTTAAAATCCTAAAGATGGAAATCGTTGAGGAAGCATTTCAAGCCCAG